TTAGTTTCTATAGAATATTGGTTTCAGAAAGGAAATTTCAAATGTTTTAATCTCTTCCAAACAGTTTATACAAGTCCATATTTAACTTCTCGTTTATTATTTAATATATTTTACGTTACGCTTAACTTACATTTTACGGTGTTTAACAATCAATATATTTCACGTCGTGTCTAATACTCTGTTTATTTAACATTATATATTTAAATCCCAACCATTTAAATTTCCATTTTCAGTCGTTTGAAATATCAAAATTATGAAAACTTAACTTTAGATAGGCTCATTATATATCTACTTTTATAATTACATTCTACAGGATGACCAAAAAGTCACCGAACACATAATTTACAGTGTCATTTGTAACACGGATACACGATGACTATAGTCTCGTTTAATCACTCGTTTCGATTGCCCCGTGTTAGTAAACAGAATAATAGTCAGTGTGACTCTATCTGCATTGTATGTTTTAATACGTGCGCACAGTGACTATAGTTTCATTTGTTAACATAGGTTGAACAAAATGGGTGATTACATGAGACTAAGTCACTAAATTTGTAAAATTATACAGTATAGGTGCATAGTGAATGTAATCATTTTAATTACACTGTTCATAAATAGAATTATAGTCAGTGTGCATCTGCTTGTATCGTTTAACACGGGAACACAATGACTTTAATCCTATTTATTTATCATCTAATACTTTTCATATTAATTTCTAACATTAATTTATCGTGTAAATAAATGAACAGTGTTTTACACCATATAAATAAATAAATATTTTTTAAAAAAACGTGTTTATATAAGCTGTAAGACAAACCTGTGAATAACGACCACTGAGGGAAACATAAAAAAAAGCGTGGCCTTCGTTGGCAGGTTTCAGACTGGATTATCTATAAATATAGGCCTATATAAATAAATTAATTTTTAAGTAACAAATTAATTATTGATCTTTATAAAAGGCTTTTTTTTCTAATTGAATAAAACAATAAAATGTTAAATCTTTGTGAGACGTGGGACGTCCTTAGATGTTTTATTGCTTTTTTACAACAGCTTTCAAGAAATTCTTTGAGAAATTCTTTAAAATCTTTCAAGAAATCAGATAAGGAAAGATTTTCTACGTTTTATGAAAAATTAGAAATTCTTTTTTTTCCAGGTGTTTTTGATATTTTGAATAAGATTAAATGCAAATAAAAGTAAACCATATTTTNAATCTTTCTAATCGGCAGCGATCGTAGAAAACGAGGGATTAAAGAATGGTTACAGAGAAGAAAAAGTCGTTATTCGAAGGGAAATAACTGAAGTGACTAGGAGGAAGTGAAGTTTTCTGTAATTAAACACTATTTTAATTGATTTTAACGCGAGAGAACCTTATAAAATATGTATGTATGTGTGCTATATAAAGGGTTCTACACCGTTGAACCTTATCCGCCTCAACTTTGGCACGAATATTTTTTGACACCCTAAAAAATACTGTGGGGCTCCTCTAAAGCCCACTATCTCTTTAGCCGGAGCAATTTTTTTTTTTGTGTGTGTTTTTCAACCTCCTCAATCCCCCGCCCACTTAAAGCCCGAGCAACACAGGCACACGCGACTACCCTTCAACTCCTTAAAACAGTACTGAAAGTACAACCATCCCTTATTACTGGCTCATTATAGCTTCATGGGGCCCAGGCAAATTTGAATTAGGAGGCCCCACGTACAGTGTCGACTTCAGACACTTCAAACGAAGTTTTTTTGGAGGAAATATTTTAAGATCGGTATGGAGCCCCAGACAATTGCCATAATTATTAATAAATACAAAACTGCAGCGAAAAAAAATTCGATTCGGATTACGAAAAATATTCATTTATTGCTTTAATATTTTGCTATTTTTAAACTTTAACTTTAATGCTTTAAAATGCTATTAAATGACACGAAAATGTCACCTCCCCTTCTTCCTTTAGTTATTCAAATTTTGAACTGATCGATTTTTTTCCGTTCCTTACTTCTACTCGATAATTCTTACACTTTAACTTTAACATTATAATCAAATTACATAAAGTTGAAATTATTAGCATTTCTGGCATCCGATAGCTTGGCATTTACCTAACTTGCAATAGGGCATCACACGTAGAAGAGGACACACAGACAAAAAAAAGGTAAAAAATTCATCACGTATTAGAAAGAAATTGTGATAAATCGTGTCGAATGTCGAATTTTATTTTACTTTTTTTGACATTTGGCAGAAACTTACGCTTTAATATAACAAAAAGAATTAATTCTGAACAGGCCCTAATGGCCTCTTTTTTTGCTGAGGCCTCAAACTTAAGGACCTCAGTAAAAAAAAAAAAATACTTATAATGATTATTTCTAACTCTATTTTGTTTATTTTTCTAAATATAATTTAATACGGAAATGAGGCCTTATCCCTTTATAAGAGGCCCTATTTTTGAAAATTTATATTGTCGATACATTTACGAAAGTTAAAATAAACGAGTGATTAACACGAGTTAATCGAATTACTTGTAAATAGGAGAGGCTAATGGGGCCTTTTGACTCAGATTTTTTTGGAGCCTCAAAAACATGTGTTACAAACGATACACTCGATGCATTTCTCCTATATTAAGACCTTCTTTTACGAATTTAATTATTTAAAATGTATAATACAAACTGTTTTTAACTATACCGGGCCCTCAATTTAAAGAAGGAACAGTTTAATAAGATATTAAATTAATTAATTATTGTCAATTATATAAATTAACAGCGATTAATGTGTATGTTACAATACACCCGAGTGACTTTTATGTTTTTCCAAGTATCCGGCTACAGCATCCTGTTACACGTCTAGAAATATATCAATCAGCTGAAATCAGAAAGTCGACAATATGGCTAGTTTTCTTTGATTAGAAAAGACGAAATGCATTACCACGAATCTAGAAGAGAAGAAAATAAATCAAATTTACTGTTCTGTCTTAGTAAATAATTAAAATCACGATAAATTTATAAGTGGAAACAGGAGCCAAATTTAAGTAACGAGCTAAACAGGCAGCAGCGTGTTTACGACGTTAGGAGGGGCCTCGTCGACAGTTTATTTGGTAAAGGAGTAAAGGCCTCTTGTGTGTTGTAGAGTAGGGCCTCCTATATGTTGTAGCGCGAGTCATACAGCAAATTTAAATCCAGCTCCGACTGGAAATTACTTAAAGTTCAACACGAATAAGTAAAATAATTGTATAGAAGACAAATGGGAATAGGGGAAAAAAAACATTCGATTATGAAAGCCAATTACTCAATCCTTCCGGAAAAAAAACCCCAGCATCAAAATTAATCATTATTGATAAAACACATTCGAGA